CTACCACAGCTTCACCTTCTGCCAAAACCTGTGACCACTTGCAATCGACCAGCCTCAGTCCGGGGCATCTTCCATGGCCGAGGGTCCACAAGATTCCGAGTGAAGAAGTCTCTCCTTGTCATGGTCAAGAACGGCTGACCCCTGCCCCCTAGTTTGTAAGCTGGTGTTCTACGTGCCTGCGACCAGGGGGATTCACCTTTCAGGCTTCTGCCCTGTCGTACCCTGTCCGAGCTTTATCTGCTTCAGTCAGGTCACCTTCCTGCCCCTTAAAATCGAGGGGACTGGCGCCAGAGGTTAAAGGTTGTTTAGGCACCATCAAGACGGATGTGTTTGCAGTCAGAGCTTTATTCCAATTTGCACACCACGAGCTTCAACCATCCTGATTACTTGCTCCCCATATAAACCCAATTCCCACTATTACCCCTCGATTAACATCTTAGTTCCATTGGATGTCAGGCATTCCCACTGGACCCTATGAGGTAATCAAGGTCAGGCTATCGTTTAGAACCACAGAATCCCTACAGTGTGGAAACAGGCCCTTCGGCCCAACAAGTCCATACTGACCCTCAGAGCATCTCACCCAGACCCACCCCCCTATAACCCACCTAAATCTACACATCCCTGAACACTGTGGGGCAATTTAGCATAGCCAATCCACCCTAAAACCCTGCACATCTTTGAACTGTGGGAGGAAACCCACGCAGACACAGGGAGAATGTGCAAACTCCAGCCTGCGACTTGTAGAACAATTCCAGTGGCCAGGAGCCAAGAATTATACCTGAACTAACATCGCTGAGACAAATTAGCTCCCCTCTCCCTTCCCACTCCCCGCCCCTCCCCCCCACCCTAGTCTGTTGCAGACTGCCCTGTACAAGGCAGTAAAGAAGATCTGACAGAGGTAGGGGAGGAGCCCTCTCAAAAAAATGGAACAAATAATGGTTTTTATTTTCTTCTGGAAAGTGACTGCTGTGAGGGGGTGGGGTAGCGAGCAAACATTCAGGAATACGGTACCAATTGCTGTTGTGCTTGTTACCATGGCGATCGTGTTCCACGTACAGAACAGAGCAAAGAAAAGACAGTTTGAGAGCCTCAAGGCCGCTGAGCAATGGGAGCCATTTTGACCTGGTCACTTAACCTTCACATGGAGCTCGGGAACTGGGCGTCCCGTGTTACAGGGACACATGTGAGAGTCAGACGTTGCTTTTGTATTTGAGGCCTGTTTAGTCTCTTTATCTGAGGAAGGATATTCTGGCGATGGAGGGAGTGCAGCGAAGGTTTACCAGACTGATACCAGACTATGAAGAAAGACCAGATCAGTTAGGATTGCATTCATGGACTCTTTTAGAAGAATGAGGGGGAGATCTCATAAAAACCTGTAAAATCCTGACAGGATCAAGGCACAAAGGATGTTTCCCAAAGACTGGGGGGGGAGTCCAGAACCAGGGGTTCACTTTCTAAGGATTATGGGGTAGGCCATTTCATAGAGTCCCTACTGCATGGCAGCAGGCCATTCAGCCCATCGAGTCCACACTAATCCTCTAAGAGCAACCTACCAAGACCCACACTACCCTGCCCTATCCCTGTAACCCTGCGTTTGCCATGGCCAATCCACCTCACCTGCACATCTTTGGACTGTAGGAGAAAACCCATGCAGACACAGGGAGAATGTACAAACTCCACACAGACAGTCGCCCGAGGGTGGAATCAAACCTGGGTCCCTGGCGCTGTGAGGCAGCAGTGCTAACCACTGAACCACCACGCCACCCAGGGCTGCGGACTGAGATAAAGAAAGATGCCTTCACCTAGAGAGCGATGAGACTTCTCTGTCACAGAAAGCGGCTGCAGGCCAAACATTAATCTCTGCCACTCAGATTCAAAATAGGTCGAGAGAGAGGCAAAACAAATGCGTTTTGATAAAACAAACAAGGGCAGGACTTGTACAATTAATGGTCGGGCCCAGAGCAGTGTTGTAGACCAGAGGGTCCTAGGGGTTCAGGTACATAATTCTTTAAAATTTGCGTCACAGGTAGAGACAGGATGCCCAAGAAGGTGTTTAGCATATTTGCCTTCATTGCTCAGACCATTGAGTATAGGAGTTGGGACGTCACGTTAAGGTTGTACAGAATGTTGGTAAGGCCTCTTCTGGAGTACTGTGTGCAGTTCTGGCCACCCTCTTATAGGACAGATATTATTAAACTACAGAGAGTTCGGAAAAAATTTACCAAGATGTTGCCAGGAATGGAAGGTTTGAATTATAAAAATAGGCTGGGATGTTTTTCACTGAAGCATAGGTGGTTGAGGGGTGACCTTGTTGAGGCTTATAAAATCATGAGGGGCATAGATGAATTGAATGACAAGGGTCTTTTCCCAAGGGTGGGGGAGTTCAAAATTAGGAGGCATATTTTTAGGGTGAGAGGAGAAAGATCTAAAAAGGACAACTTTTTTACACAGAGGGTGGTTTAAAAGACATTTGGATAAGTACATGAATAGGAAATGTTTGGAGGGATATGGGCCAGGCGCAGACAGGGGGAACTGGTTTAGTTTTGGAACATGGTTGGCATTGACTGGTTGGCCTGAAGGGTCTGTTTCCATGCTGTATGACTCTAATGACTATTACAAGTGATTTTCCTACCCTCAAGTAGCCTTTGAAACCTTGTACACAGAAACACGTATGGTCATAAAAACCGAAAGAACTGCGGATGCTGTAAATCAGGAACAAAAACAAAGTTGCTGGAGAAGCTCAGCAGGTCTGGTCACCGGACCCGAAACATTAACTCTGTATTTTTTCCTTCACAGACGCTGCCAGACCTGCTGAGCTTCTCCAGCAAGTTTGTTTTTGACCCATAGTCATAAGGCTGTTTGACTGGCAGAATAGCGCCAGGAGGGTCTGCTGATTTCCCAGTTGGTCATGGGACAGCAGCAGTTCACTCCCCCCATCTCCGAGGAATGGAGCTATCAGGAAGCCAGTGTTGGGACGAGGGAGGAAGAGGATAGGGAGAATTGGTGGATATTGCGTGCATTGAACTGGCCAGAAGTATGTGTGATGTTAACTTTGTAAACTTGATACGATGTAATTACTCCCTCCCGTTAGCAGCACAGTTTGTGCAAAAATGGACATAAGACCTAGTAATTTGAAAGATCAAAAACTGTGGCTGAATCCCCAGACTATCAGCCTCTCAGCGCATAAACACAGTAGTTGCAAGCACAGGTCAGAGTTCAGCAACACTGCAGTAAGTAACTCAACTCCTGACTCCCCAGGGCCTGTCCAGCATCAAGGCTCAAGTCAAGACTATGTTGGAATACTCCCCACTTGCTCCTGGATGGGGGCAGCTCCAACAACACTCAAGAAGCTCGACACCATCCAGGACAAAGCAACCTGCTTAAATGGCAACGCAAGTTGTACCTTCATTCCCTCTACCACCAGCAGTCTACAGTGTGCACTGCAGCAACTCACCAATTAATTGATTGCAGAGTCACAAGGGATACAGCACAGACGGAGGCTACTCAGCCCAATGTGGCCTGCACTGGCTCTTCAAACAACCTAAATTTGTTTGTGCCAATTTCCTGCTCTATCGCCTGCCCTTGCACACTGTTTCTCTCCAGCATTTTCCACAGAGAGCTGTTGAAACATCAGATTGGGCTGATTATATCAGTTTAGTTTATTTCTAATCAGAAACCAGGCCTCATTCCTTTCTGCTTTCATGACAGAACTGTTCACTTTCTGGGCCAGAGAGGGCAAGTTCAAAGCCCCTTAGACAGCACCTTCCAAACTCACAACCCGTCCATCTAGAAGGACATGAGCAGCAGATATGTGGGGACACCACCCCCTGCAAATTCCCCTCCATGCCACTCGCCATCCTGGTTTGGAAATACATTGGCTGTTCCTTCAGGATCACTGGGTCAAAATCCTGGAATTCCCTCTCCAGTGGAGTTGTGGTTCAAGAAGGCAGCTCACCACCACCTTCTCAAGGGGCAACTAGGGACGGGGCAATAAATGCTGGGCCCAGCCAGTGACACAAACATCCCATGCAAGAATAAAAAAATTGTGGATTTGCTCTCACATGTAGGTCAGACTGGATAAGGACAACAGGTATCCTTCTCTACAGGAATTAGTGAATCAGGTATTCCTTCCTTTATGATGGGGGTGGTAATGGCCTAGTGGTATTATCGCTGGGCTATTAAACTAGAAACCCGGATAACATCCCGGGGACCTGGGTTCAAATCTCATCACGGCTGATGATGGAATTTGAATGCAATGAAATATCTGGAACTAAGAGTCCAATGATGACCGTGAATCCATTGTCGATTGTTGGGAAAACCAATCTGGTTCACTAATGCCCTCTCGGGAAGGAAACTGCCATTCTTGCCTGGTCTGGCCTAGCCTACACGTGACTCCAGACCCACAGCAAAGTGGTTGACTCTGAACTGCCGTCTGGGCAATTCAGGATGGGCAATAAATGCTGCCTAGCCATTAAATGAACGAAGGGGAAAGAAAGCAATGTTTCATGGTCAAAGGCAAAATTAGGACATATAAGTTCCCACACCTTCCATCGAGAGAATAAAGTCTTCCCTCGGTCTCTGCCCGAAGGAAAATAACCCTAGTTTATCCCAGTGTCCCAGTTCTGAAGAAGGGAGCCTGGATCCGAAACATTAACTCTGCTCTCTGTCTCCGCAAGATGCTGCCAGACCTGCTGAGTGTCTCCAGCAATTTCTGATTTCCAGCATCCGCAGTTCTTTGGAGGTTATTTTATTTTCCCCGGTTTATCCAATCTCTGTTTGCGACTGAAACTGCCCAGTGCCAGGCAGCGTCTTCTGTTCCTCCATCCCGTTGTTCCAGAGATTCTGACTGCCCTGCTCCCCTACCTTTGCCATCCAAACCCTGAGCCTGCCAAGAGTCCTCTGAGCAACTTGCAGTACGAGTAGTTTCGGAGCTGGCAGTGGTGGTGGTGGGATGGGGAAAGGAGCCCAATAGCGCAGTGCCAGAGGGCATTTGTGCCTACCTGTACACCAATGTCTCATCCACCGAGGAGTTGTACTGGATCTGGTACATCCACACGTGACGCGGGGAGACAGCAGTTGGCCAATGGACCAAAGCGCCAGTGTCTGTTATGTCTAGCACCGCCACGGTTTCCTCCTCCATCTCCCTCTCTTCCCCGTCTGTCTCCTCGTCCTCCTCCTCCTGCTGCTGCTCCTCTGGGCGGCGCCTGGGTGGCCTATTGGAGGTGGTGATGTCCGAGGAGCCGGGCCGGCGGTGGGGGGCGCGGGCCGAGCCGTTGCCTCCGTGGGGCAGCGGGATGATCTTGAGGTCAGCCAGGGCGCTGGACTCGCCGGCAGCGTTGGTGGCGAAGCAGGCGTAAGGCCCATCGTCGGCCACGGTGGCCACCAGGATGTCCAGGGTGCCGTTGCGGTAGGAGGTCACCCGCGATGAGTTGACCACGATCTTGTCCCCCGGCGACACCCAGTGGATGGTGGGCTCCGGGTCGCCCACGGCCCGGCACTTGAGGGTGGCCCGCTGCCCCTCAAGGATCCAGACCCGGTGGGTGTGGCGGGTGATCAGCGGCGGTTCGCAGATGAACTCCTCCTCCGGCACCGACCAGAAGTACCTGCCCGCCAGGTGGGCAGGGGCGGCGCACGTTTCCAGGTCGTTGTGGCGGGTCAGGCGCCGGAGCCAGAGTAGCTCGCAGTTGCAGTGCAGGGGGTTGCCACCGAAGCTGAGCGCCACCATGGCGATGGAGGAGGAGGTGGAGGTGGAAGGAAGGGCCAGCGGCGTGGCCTGGGAGCGCGAGAAGAGCGGGTCGGGGGGCAGTGTGCGCAGCCGGTTGGACGTCATGTCGAGCCGTGCGAGCTTGACCAACTGTCGGAAGGTGCCTGCCACCATGTGCTCAATGAGGTTGTGGTCCAGGTTGAGGGTGTGGAGGTTGACCATGGCGCGCACCGCCTGCCAAGGTACCCGCTGCAGGTTGTTGAACGACAGGTCCAGGTCCTCCAGGGTGAGCAGGAAGTCGTCGAAGGCGGCGGTGCCGATGCTGACCAGCTGGTTGTTGTTGACAATGAGGTGCTGCAGGTTGACCAGGCCGCTCAGGTTGTGGTCCCGCAGGGTGGTGAGCCGGTTGCCATCCAGGTGCAGCGAGCGCAGGCTCTCCAGGTCGGCGAAAGCGAACGGCTGGATGGAGCCGATGGTGTTGCGGGACAGGGTGAGGTCCACCAGGCCCGACATGTTGACAAAGTCCCGCTGCCCCACCACCCGGATGAAGTTGTCGGCCAGCCGCAACTCCACGGTGCGCCGGTCGATGTTCACCGGCACAAACAGCAGCCCCTTGTTGGCGCACAGTGTGCTGAGCGAGTCCGACAGGTTCTGGCACACGCAGTGGAAGGGGCAGGCGTTGGCCAACGCTGCCAAGCCCCCGACCAGCAGGCAGCCCAAAAGGAGCCTTCGCATTGTTGATCCGTCAGGGAGACCTGTGGGCGAGCACCACAAGGGATTAGACCGGTGCGCAACGCATCCACCAGACCTAGGAACAGAATTAGGCCATTCAGCCAATCCAGTCTGCTCCATCATTCAATGACTGGTCTAATAATCCTAAAGCCCATTTTTCTGCATGTCCTCCCAACCCTTGATTTCCCGATTGTCCTAAAGTCCATTTACATTGTCCCAAAACTACTGAAATACGTTATGAAATAGCCTCACAGCAGCCACACTGACAGACCACTTGAACTGAGAGAGTAAAATATCCTCTTTGGCACTTAGATCCTCAACTATGACCACCCCAGCACTGTTCAGGTGTATCGTTTTGCCTTGCCAATGTTTATTCATTGATTAAGGATGGTCTAAGTTTACATGTCAAGATTGTAATTGTAACAAGAAGTAGTTCAGTGACTTACTGCAATGCTCTAACTCTGGTTATAGGATGGGGTGAGGGAGGTTGGCATGAAACATACATTCTCCTTATGTCCAACCAACACTGTTGAGTCAAACTGGCATTTTCTGAGGACCACTGACGCAGTTAGTCCTCCAGAGTAACGTTTTTGTAGGCAGCCTGATCAGTGGTCAGTTTTAAAATCTGAGATTGGGAATTCTGTTTTTTTACGAAAGGTGCTCAATGGAGTAGAGTCAAAGATCAGCCATCATCTTGCTCAGTGAAAGAATAGGCACAGGAGGTTTGGGGTTGAATGGCCTCCTTCTGTTCCCATTGAATTGTCAGGTTGCCTGAGGGAGGTTGGGGGGTAACTGTGGCCAAAGATTACCTTACACTATACCCTCCCCTACGCTCATTTAGTCACCCTTTCCCCTCCCCGTCTGTCTCTCACAGTCCTAGAAAATCCCTCAGACTCAGACACTCTCTCAGTCAAATTTGTTTGATTTACACACACATATATATAGACATGCAAACACGTGAACACCCAGACTGACACAGACACAGACGCGCATACACACATACACACACTCTCAAATACAAACACATGGACACACATAGACAGACACACACAGATACACACATACATAGACATATATGGGTTCACAGACACATGCTTAGTGGTGTTAATAATCCAGAGACCCAGCTAACGTTCTGGTGACCTGGTTTCGAATCCCACCATGGCAGCTGGTGGAATTTGAATTCAAAAGAAGTCTGGAATTAATTTTATTTTGAAAGTCTGGAATTAATGATGACCATGAAATCATCGTTGATTGTCAGGAAAAACTCATCTACTTCACTAATACCCTTTAGGGAAGGAAATCTGCTGTCCTTACCAGTTCTGGCCTATGGGTGTTGGAAATGAACTGATCTTCTGGGTGTGCTCGCTAAGCTAACAGAACATGTGAGAGAGAGAGAGTGTGAATGTGTCTGTGTCTGTGTCTGTGTGTCTGTGTGTGTGTGTGTGTGTGTGTGTCTGCATGTGGGTGTGTGAGAATATGTGTCTGTGTGATTGTGTGTCTGCGTGTGTGTGTGTGTGCATGTGTATGTCTGTGTGCGCGCGTGCGCGCGTGTGTGAGAATGTCTGTGTGTGTGTTTGTGTGTGTGTGTGTATGTCTGCATGTGGGTATGTGAGAATGTGTGTCTGTGTGTGTGCATGTGTATGTTTGCGCGCGTGCGTGCGTGTGTGTCTGGTGTGTGTAGCAGGATTCCTGATCTCTGCAGAGATCATCCTTGCTGTGAGGGCAGAAGTGGAGAGTTAGAATTGGAGAAGCACTTTGAGTGGGGGCTGAATAGACACAGAAACGGTTGAGGGGCAGGAACAAGTCAGTGCACCAAGAAATAACTGCAGCAGCAGATTGAAGAAACTGCTGTATATCCCCAGCCTGGAGCCTGGTGGACCAGAGTGTAAACAGAGCACTGTCATTTACTGGCAGAGCCCTCTATTCAGTATTACCTCCTGTATTTATTTTGATGCTTAACTCCAATTCTTTGACCTTCACCCCCAACCATCTCTCCTGTAGTGAAAATGTGATGGACAGGAGCAGTTTGGTGTGGAAATTCCAATGTGGATTTTCACATGATTGTACCGGGTTAAAAAGCTCACTTGCTTTGATTTCTTCACTGCCCTTTTATTCCTGCACCCTCCCCCTCCAATTAAAGAATGCCCAGGAACTGAACCCTACACAGTGGGTGGTGAAGGCTTTTTTAAAAGGTCCCCCCCACCAAGCATCTCGATATTTTCAAATCACCCTACTCAGATGTTACAACAAACCTCTGTATCAGCTGGGACTTTCGTTTTTCATTCATTGCAGGAGATGGAGCATTTATTGCCCATTCCAGAGGGCAGTTTAGAGTCAACCATGTTGCTGTGGGGTCCGGTGTAGGCCAGACTGGGTAAGACTTCCTTCCCTAAAGGCCATGAGTGGGTCTTTCCCCCAACAGTTCGACTCTTAATTCCAGATTTTTATTGAGTTCGAATTCGACCATCTGGCGGGATTTGAACCCAGGTCCTTGGATTATTACCGGGGAGGGGGGGTCTCCGGATTAATAGTTTAGCAATAATACTACTGGGCCTCCCCTTAAAGCAAAGGAGAGGCTCACGTGTCATCCTTGAACCTGGCTCAGAGGTAGGGGCACTACCTTTGTGCCAGAAGATATGGTCACACTGGGCTTCGAATCTTCCTAGGTAGAGAAGACGAAGGGCAGAGCTAATCTCGGGATCTCAAATGCCAGATAGACTCAGCACAGTCAATAGAGAGCAGTTTGCCGTCTGACGGGAAAGTTGTCTGAACCGAGGGGGTGAAATCTTCACTTGTTTTGAGAGACAGGACCTTGGGGATGCCAAGGAGCACTCCCTTGCACTGGGCGTCTCAAACTCCCTCCCTCCAACAAATGTGGGGAGTAGGGTGTGGCCGTGGGTGGTAGTTGATTGAAAGATACCAAAAGCAAGACTGATTGATTTTTGTTTGAGGATCATGGGGCCCCGAGGCAGTATGATTGCCAAACTGAATGGCCGTGCTGGCTCAGAGAGTGGAGGGCCTGAATGGCCCTGCTTTCTGTTCCTACGCTCCCAGGAACAGGGACCCACACTGCCTTTTAGACCAGCCAAACTACTATTGGAATCCGGGAGGAGTATTGTCAACGGAAGTTCACCAGACTGATTCCTGGCATTGGCAGGTCGGTGCCACAAGGAGAATGGGCCTGTACCCTCCAAAGGGAGTGCTGCACTGTCGGAGAGTCAGTACTGAAGGAGTGCTGTACTGTTCAAGGAACATTACTGAAAGAAAGCTGACCAGTGGGAGTTGCTTTATTTTCGATGCAATGACAAACCAAGCCTCTCTCTGTACTTTCAGATTGACAGAAGAAACTCAAGATACCACCTAGGTTAGAAAGCAGAGTCCCGCACACTGTCCTGAGCTAAGCCATTTCCTCAACCAGTGCCCCTGAGACAGATTAGCAAGCAACTATCAAATTGGGGTCTAGCTGCAATCTTGAACTTGTTTGCCCTGTTTCCCTATACCAGTGACTGTGTTTCAAAAACACCTGAATGGTTGTAAGTGCCTGATGAGGTTGTGAAAGACGCAATATGCATGTAAGTTCATTCTTCCTCTCTTATCAGATTGTCATCCGTTCAGGGCACATGTTCGGGAAAGAATTGGTGTTCTTAAAATTAAAACTTCACCTCATGGCCCTGGGAAGTTGATTAAGCTCCCAGAGTCAACACTGGTTGGTCCTGCAGCTCAATGCATCACCTATCAATTTTGTATCCAGTCAGTGATTCCCCCTGTGGCTTTGTATGTGCTGAGTATCCCAACAACACTAAAGTGGACATGCACAAGGGACGAGTGTTCCAATTAGGATACTCAAATACAGCTCAGTGCCTGTTTCAATATGTCTGTCTGTGTGTGTGAGTGAGTGTGTGTGTGTGAGAGTGTTTGTATGTGTGAGTGGTCATGTCTGTGAGAGTGTTTGTGTGTTTGTATGTGTGTGTGATCGTGTGTGTATGTGGTCATGTATGTGAGTGTGTGTGTGAGTGGTCATGTATGTGAGTGTTTGTGTGTGTGAGTGGTTGTGTGTTTGTGTGTGAGTGGTTGTGTGTGTGTGTGTGTGTGTGAGTGGTTGTGAGTGTGTGTGTGAGTGGTTGTGTGTGTGTGTGTGAGTGGTTGTGAGTGTGTGTGTGAGTGGTTGTGAGTGTGTGTGTGAGTGGTTGTGAGTGTGTGTGTGTGAGTGGTTGTGAGTGTGTGTGTGAGTGGTTGTGAGTGTGTGTGTGTGCGTGGTTGTGAGTGTGTGTGTGTGGTTGTGAGTGTGTCTGTGAGTGGTTGTGAGTGTGTGTGTGTGAGTGGTTGTGAGTGTGTGTGTGAGTGGTTGTGAGGGTGTGTGAGAGTGAGTATGTGTCGGTGTTAGTGTGTTTGTCTGTGTGCACGTGTGTCTGTGAGCATGTGTGTCTGTGACTGTGTCAATCCCAGAGGGCCAGTTAACAAGGACACACATTAAAATCTCATCACAGCAACTTGTAGAATTTAAATTTAGTTATTCGTAATATGATGCTAGTCTCAGAGATGGTAATCATGGCAATCATCATCGACTATTGCTTATCTGGTTCATGGATGCCCTTTGGTTAAAGAAATCTGCCGTCCTTACACAGTCTGGTCTACATGTAACTCCAGACCTCTCAATGACTCTTAACTGTCCCTTCGAAATGGCCGAGCTTAGTTCAAGGGGCAGTTAGGGATGGGTGACAAATGCTGACTTCCCCAGCGATTCCCAGCTCCCATGTGAGAATTGAGAGAACAGGGGACAACAAAACCGAACCCTTCATGATTTTGACCATCCCTATCAATCAAAACAAAACATTCCCTGCTTCTCCAGCCTCTCCTGGCAGCATTTCGAACGGAAACTCCCTGGGTTAACCCATCAAACTGCCTCTGGCCTGCGGTGCCTCCCCTTGGGGGGAGGGTGTAACTGCAACATGACCGGTTTACATAGGCTGTTGCCATTAAAAGTGTGACCATGTGGGTTAAAGTGGGCAGAGTTCACAATATGTGTGCAGATCATGTAAATGCTGAACATCGTCGACAGAGCAGTATGAATCTAGCCCTGAATTTGCAAGAAATGATTTTCCACGGGAGGTCTTAATTTGGGGAACTCATGCGCACCATGTACGAACATCTGTTTTGCTTGAAACCGGAAATCTTTGTCTCTCACTCTTAATTGCTCATATTCCCTTTCAACGCATGTCAATTTCTGCTATTGGATTCGCTTCGTGATTTCATGAATGAAGAGGGTTTTAAATGGAATTCCTTTGCAGTGCTTGTCAGAATCTCTTTTGACCTTCAAATGTTCCCTCTCCAAATGAGTGCAATGCAAGTCAATTTACATCAATTTAGCTGCTGTTCAGCCCAAACAGCTCGAGACATCATTCTCAAACTGAGTTTTAACTGCTCGCAGATGAGAATGTTTTCCAAATTGCCACCTGTAGGTAAGTACCTGTTGTCATGGGAGTAAGTTTAAAGCCTTTGGACAGCAGTGGCGCAAAAACCTGTGAAGGGGCAGACGCTGAAAGGCGGCTTTCCCCAGGTGAGAGGGCGCTACATCGAAGGGAGTTACGGTCTTGGCATCAAGGGGGTAGTCCCTTTCGGACTGAATATTGTCTTCAGGTTCCCAAAGTCACTGCAGCACATGCACCTCAGAGACAGGGAACCTTAAGGGGGCAATGTTGCCTTTGGAATCTTGGGAATTCTGGAGCCCAGGGGCCTGTCATTTTTCAGTCGTTGGGTATGTTTCAAATCTTGAAGTCTGTAGATTCTTGCAAAGTTGGGGGATTGAGGAACCCAGCGTGGAAGGGGAGGTGTTGGAGATCGGTCCATGGACACATTGAATAGTGAAGGCTCTCTGGGAACTGTGTAACTTACGTCCTTGTGTTGATGTAACACATCACGGTTCATTAGGCAAGATGATGGTGTAAGGGGTAACACCACTGGGCTATTAAATCCCGCAGCCAACACTTTCCAGGAAGTGACTGCCTATTCCATCTGCAATGGACATCCTCATTACTTAGCTTCCCCAGATGCCCTTTAGGGAAGGAATTCTGCCCTCCCCTCCCAGTCTGGCCAACTCCAGACTCAGTGCTATTGAGCATTGAGTATAGGAGTTGGGACGTAACGTTGCAATTGTACAGGACATTGGTCTTACCACTTTTGGAGTACTACATACAGTTCTGGTTGCCATGCTACAGGAAGGATGTTTTTAAAGGGTGCACAAAATATTTACACGGATGTTATCAGCACTGGATGGTTTGAGTTATAAAGGAGAGGCTGGGACTCCTTGCCTGGGAACATCAGAGGCTGAGAGGTGACCTTACAGAGGTTTATAAAATCATGAGGGATGTGGATAGGGTGAATAGCCAAGGTCTTTTCCCCAGGGTAGGGGAGTCCAAAACTAGCCGGCATAAGGTTAAGATGAGAGGAGAAAGATTTAAAAGGAACCTGAGGGGCAACTTATTCACACAAAGGATGATGCGTGTATGGAACAAGCTGCCAGAGGAAGTGGTGGAGGCTGGTACAATTATAGTATTTAAAAAGACATCTGGATGGATACATGAATAGGAAGGATTTGGAGAGATATGGGCCAAATGCTGCCAATAGGGACTGGTTCAGCATAGGATATCTGCTCAGCATGGATAAGTTGGACCGAAGGGTCTGTTTCCAAGCTGCATGACTCTATGACTGTATACCATATACCCAGATGCCCTCTGCAGTGGCATGAGCAGGCACAAGGGGAATGAGGGGTGGGCACCTCATTGCCCACATCCCATCAAAGGATATATTGTCAAGAAGGCCCCAGTTTCTCCTTATGGTCAATATGCTCGTCTTTACATCAATAGCCAGGCTGGGATGTGCATTGACTCTCCCCAGTGCAAGGGGCTCATGCTTCACGAGAGGGTTTTTGTTTTAATGACAGGGGCGGTGTAATTCCTCAGTGATCAGGCAGAGGCGGCTTTCTCGTTCGGAATATTGTCACGAGTGACCAGTTTCGGAGTCGGCAGTTCTGTGACACTGCGTGGGGGAAAGGGGGCTGGGAGTCCCTGTTTGTTGACAGGAGCAGGAGGCCCCTCTCATGTGGCACAATCTTTAAGACAGAATCCAGGGAGAAATGTTCCAAGTTATCAGCAAGCTAAGCAGAGTGCTTTCTTGGGGATAAACATGTCGGTTTTGATGCATACCTGGTTGTTTCGTGGATTTCTGTTGGCATTTGTGGGGGTATGTTATGGTAATGTCTTAACATTAGGAGTGGTCCTTGTTATCCCTGCCACTGACACTCTCCCTGTGAATCACCCCTTCCATCCCCATGTTACTTTGGAGGAAAGCACTTACATTGGTTTAACAAAACAAAGAGTTTTCTCATCTTTCCTGCTGGGAAAAGGGGACGTTATATATCCACAAGCACACCAATTTATAAATAAAAAGGTTTACTGAGCACTGAGAACAGTCAAATTGGGGCACTGTGCAATCCTGGAGATGGTTTCAGGGTCTGAGCAGGACATGTTCTCATCATTTATTTGGTAATTTTACCCTTGAAAGGAAGCCATCCGTAATGAGGCGGTTACCTTGGCACTCAGGTAAGGGTACAGTATTGAGAGTGAATGGTTAAAATGGTATGTGTGTGTGAGGGGGAGAGAAAGTGTTTGAGCGTGTGTGTGAGAATCAGTGTGTGTGAAAGTGTGTGTATGTGTATGAGAGTGAATGTGTGACAGTGAGAGAGAGAGTGAGTGAGTTGTTTGTGTGAGTTCATGTGTGAGAATTGATTATGTGTGGGAGTGGGTGAGTTTGTGTGTACGTGAGAGCGAGTGTGTTGTTTGTGTATGTGAGATAGTGTGTGTGTGTGTGTGTGAAAGAGAAACTATATATGAGAGAGTGAGAATGAGTTTGTGAGACTGAGTGAGTTGTTTGCATGTGTGTGAGACTGGGTAAGTGTGTTATCTATGTGTGTGTGTGATTGAGAGAGTGAGTGTGTATGAGACCGTGACTGAGTTGTTTGTGTGTGTGAGAGAGAGGGATTGAGTGTGTGACTGAGTGTGTGTATGAGAATGTGTTTGAGTGTGCGCATGTGAGTGTGTGTGTGAGACTAAGTGAGTTGTTTGCATGTGTGTGAGACTGGGGAAGTGTGTTATCTATGTGTGTGTGTGATTGAGAGAGTGTGTGTGTATGAGAGAGTGAGTGAGTTGTATGTGTGTGTGTGAGAGAGGAGAGGGGGAATGTGTGTGAGACTGAATGCGTGTGTATGTGAGAGCGAGTGTCTGTGTGTGTGAGAGAGGGAGTGAGTGTGAGAGAGGGAGTGTGTGTGAGACTGAGTGAGTTATTTCTGTGTGTGTGAGGGCGTGAGTGAGTTGTTCATGTGTGTGAGAGAGGGAGTAAGTGAGTTGTTTGTGTGTTATGTGTGTGTATGCGTGTGTGTGTGTGAGAGAGAAAATGTGCAGTAAAGCATGATTGTACCAGCAGCCAGCCTCATTAGCATGAAAATCCTGCCAGTAAATCACTTGCCATCACTAAAACCGTGCTGCAGCAAATATATTTTTTATTAACACAGCCCCCAAGTCTCGGCACTTTGCGAGACAGACACGCACCAATGACCTGGTTTATTTAAATATGCTTAAGCAAACTGATCTCAGTACTTTGTCGTTTTGCTGATACAGTCTAAGGCACAACAGCAGGGGCAGTCTTCAATGCTGCCTTCTCTTTAATTACAGTGTTATCTGACAGCACAGCGCAATCCAAAGTGCATGTGAGTGGGGCTGGCTCGTAGGCAGCAGTGCAAGGGTTAAAACCTCTGCACAAACACATCCACCGTTACAAAACACACCAGAAACATACACACACACACACTCCTCGTACAAAAGCGAATAGCAATTTCATCGCAAATTCTGTCATTTTGACAATGACCTTCACATGCTAATGACATGACACTGAGACCTCATCCTCTTAGTTAATCTTTTGCCCCATTGGAAAACTGGAAAACCCCTTCTTTATTTCATTGCTTCGTCACCCTGGGCTTCTCTTTTTTTTTCTTGTGTCTTTTAAGTTTACCTTTGTTGTGGGAGAGGCATTAGCTCTGTGACGGCGATCCTCTAGCTTCCAGACTCCTCATTCTCGCCTGTCCAGCTCCCCTCGTTGCCCAAGCTTGCTGGTACATCTTCAGCTGCTCCTGGAGAGATGCGAGGTGTGTTCTGTATATGTGTGCGCCTTTTCTTTTTGCCCCCACTTTCCAGCGGCTCCCTCGAATGCAGCTCAGCTCGACGCAAGCTGTTTAATAGTCAGGCTCCAGAGATTCATTTGTATCTGCCGGTGGCTGGAAAGAGCAGAAACAGGCTCCAAACGAACCCGCTCTCATTTTTTTTGCCTTTGATTTCTCCAGTGCTGGCTACTGAGATATTTCTGTCACACACACTGTCTTTTGCTGTCTGTCTGTCTCTCTCTCTCTGTGTCTCCCCTGCACCACCCACCTCTCCCTGTCCCCAACCAACACCCCCTCCCCCCCCCCCGCCTCTCTGACTGTATCTCTGTCACCCACTATCTTTATCTTTCTATTTGTCAGTCCTATCTTTCTCTATCTCTGTTTCATCGCCCTCTCTCAATTCTGTCTGTTCTCTTTCTTAAGTCAGTTTCTTTTTCTGTTTTTGTCTCTCATTTAGTGTTTTTCTCTCTCTGTCGGTCTCGTCTGTGTCTGTCTGTTTCTCTCTATCTTTGTGTATTTCTGCCTCTCTATCTCCCTCTCCTTCTCTGTCACTGTCTTTCTCTGTCTTGCTCTCTTTCTGTCTCTCCCTCTCTTCTGTCACTGTCTTTCTCTGTGTCTCTGTCTCATTTCTCTCTTCGTGTCTCCTTCTGTTCTGTCCCTGTATTTCTCTGTGTATCTGTCTCACTTTCTATCTCTCCCTCTCCTCTGTCACTGCCTTTGTGTCTCCGTCTCACTCCCTCTCTGTTCTGCCCCTGTATTCGTGTCTCTGCCTCACTTTCTCTCTGTCTCTCCCTCTCCTCTGCCCCTGCCTTTCTCTGTGTGCCTTTCTCACTCTGTGTCTCTTTCTCTCCTCTGTCACCGCCTTTCACTGTGTCTCTGCCTCACTCTCTCTCTCTCTCCGTGTCCTCTCTCACTGCCTTTCTCTGTGTGTCTGTCTTGCTCTCTATCTGTCTTGCACTCTCTCTGTCTCTCCCTCTCCTCTCTCACTGTCTTTCTCTGTGTCTCTGTTTTTCTCTCTCTCTCTGTCTCTCTCAGTCGAGCCCGGCCGCCTCAATATAAAGGGAACTTTCTCAGCACTGTAGGATGTTGCAGGCAGATTACATTCTCGCGCCCAGCTTGCCGGTGCTCCATAGTCACAGGGTCCTTCTCCTGTCTCACTGTCTCTGCCTTCGCACTGTGACTCCAGGAAGACTTAGTCAGAGGGATCAGCCGGTTTTCGTCCTGCAGAACTCCCTCTGGTCATCCAGTCGACTGCCGTGTGCTTTCTCTCTCTCTCTCTCCCTCTCTCTCTCTCTGTGTGTGTCTCTCTCTCTCTCTCCCCTGTCCCTCGCCTGCCTCGTTGTCGGCAGATTAACGTCCATGTGATCACATTTGCAGACTGGAGCCCTGACTCCCTGCAATGGAAGCAGAAAGGACCTGCTGCTGTTCCACACATTCAAACCCCTCAACTAAGAGCTTGCAAACAAGCGGGGAGATCCTTTCTCCTTCTTCAGCTTGGGTGGGGGTGGGGTGGAGGCAAAGATGCAGGGCGAAGACTCAAGAAGAACCTATGGGCAGGGCGACAGGTCAGAGGCTGGGCTAAATTGATTTCCAAGATACGGCACGGGTTAGAGAGGCAGAGCGGCCTCCTGGCATTCTACACCATGCTCTGAAATACCTGGCCAATGACCTTTGAGGTGAGAGGTCGGAGGTTAATGACACCTGGGTTAAATTCCCAGGCCATAAAATTGCACCCCCCCACCATATCAGAGAAGATTGAGGGGGTCAAACCATATGTGTGGTTGAAGGTGAGGGCAGGGAGGGCTCAGTGGTTAGCACCAGTACCTCACAGCGCCAGGGACCCTGGTTCAACTCCACCCTCGGGCAACTGTCTGTGTGGAGTTTGTACATTCTCCCTGTGTCTGTGTGGGTACCCTCTGGGTGCTCCGGTTTCCTCCCACAGTCCAAAGATGTGCAGGATTGGCCATGCTATGTTGCTCCATTGTGCCCAGCGATCTGCTGACTGGGTGGGTTAGCCATGGTAAATGCGAAGTTAGAGGAAAGTGCTGTGCCTAGGTATAATGTGCCTCTTCAGAGGGTCGGCACAGACATGATGGGCCAAATGGCATCTCTCCACACTGTAGGGATTCTAGAAAGGATCTGATAAAGAGGAAAAAAGGTCGGGGGAACATTTCGAATCACAGCCCGACCCGTGTCAGGGAATCACTACCTCAACAGCAAATGGAAATTCTCTCCCTCAAAAACCTCCTGAGTCTGGGCAGGGGTGGGGACACAAGCCGAAAATTCCAGAACAGGATTGAGGGGAATTTTTTTTTGTCAGGCATTGAGAGTAGTTGGAAGCACCGTGAGTGGATGGGTAGAGATAAGCTGTGATCCAGATAGAAGGACTCATGGGAGACGTGGCCTCCTCCTGTTCTGCTCGCGGGGATCCATTCAGTTCCCACCCCCAACCTCAGTAAGCCTGTTCCGCCATTCAGTAAAATGGCGGCTGCTCTGTGACCTAACTCTATAAACTCAACTGAAAGAAAGCAAAACACTGCAGGTGCTGGTAATCTGAAGCAGGCAGACACAGGGAATGCTGGGGAAACTCAGCAGGTCTGTGGAGAGAGAGAGAGAAAAACAGAGTCAACTGTTTCCAATGCGACAGGACTGTTCCTTCAGAGCTGCTTCTACAACCTCACCATTCCCTTTGCAAAACAGTCGAACCCTCTCAGATCTTGCGTTCCCCACGGCCTTAACATGGGCGACCGTTTTGCTCGTGCGTGTGCGAGTGTTTCATAATTCTTCTGTGACCTGCCACAGATCACAGCACACACAGGAGGAGGTTATTCAGCCAGTCATGTCTGCGCTGGCTCTCAGTGGGAGCAGTTCAGCAAGTGCCTTTCTTCCTCCTCCAGAATGCTGCCCGTTCGTCCTTTTCGAGCAATCCGGAATATCTTGATTGAACCTGCCTCTCCCATGCTCTCGGGTAACACTGCCCAGATCCTGACCTCTCCTTGTGAGACGAACCTTCTCATCAACTCTCCATTCTTTCACTAGGCTTTGCGAACCTGTGTTCTCTTGCGTTCCGCCAGTGGGAACAGTTCTCCCCTCTCTATGCAACGCTCACCCCGGTCATGGTTATTTTTGAGGACCCCTGTCGAACTTCCTCGCAACCTTCTCCGAATGGAACAGATCTCTACTTTCTGGAACCTATCCACCTCACAGAGCCCGTTCCAGTGGAGCCTCTGGGGTGCTTTCGCCTCTCAATCGCTCCCTTAATCTTTCATACTCCAGGGAACGGTGATACCTCGGCCATTTTGCTGTCATCCCTTACTCAGAAAAATATCCTGAAAGAGCTGCGGGTTCTGGAAATCATAAGCGGAAACAGAAATTGCTGGAAAAGCTCAGCAGGTCTGGCAGCATCTGTGGAGAGAAATGACATGACACTGAGACCTCATCCTCTTAGTCAACGGTTAACACTCCGGGTCCATTGACCCTTCCTCAGAACTGATGGCAGCCAGGAATTGGTTGGTATTTATGCAGGAGATGAGGTGGGGGGAGAATGAATGATAGGGCACAAAGAGAGAGAAAAATACTTGGACAGGCAAAAGAAGGGTAAGTTCAGCCTGGGAGAATGAATAGCTGTTAGCGGGGACTGTCAGGAGCTGATGATGGATTGTGTGCAACAGCAGACCATGTGTTGACAAGTCTTTGTGTGGGGGAGTGGGTTTGATTAGGGATGTGGGAGAAGATGCCTCAACCCCTAAAATTGTTGAACTCAATATTGAGTGCAGAAGGCTATAGCGTCCCTAGGCGGAAAATGAGGTGTTGTTCTTGCAGCTTGTGCTGAGCTTCACTGGAACACTGCAGCAAGCCCGAGACAGAGATGTTGCCCCAGGGAACAGGGTAGTGTATTGAAGTGGCAGGCAACTGGAAGCTCAGGATCTTTTTTGCGAGCAGACCATAAGTGTTCTGTGAAGCGGTCACCTGATCCTGTCCCACAGGAGATCAGGACAGACTAAAGGGCCTTTCTGCACTGTCCTGTGAGCATACAGAGTTCTGACAGAAGGAACAAAGAGGGGGGGCACTCAGATGCCCAGGCAGGGAGGGAGGGAGAAGGGGAACGGTAGTTTGGGATGTTCATTAGAATTTTGTACTGCCTTTCCAATTACTAACAAACCCCCTTCCCAGAGCAACCAGGCACCATTCAATGAATTAGAAACAGAAATTCAGCAGGTCTGGCAGCATCTGTGGAGAGAAACAGAGTTAATGTTTCAGGTTCAATGACCCTTCTTCAGCACTGCTCTGTCAAAGGGTCACTGCACTGGAAGCATTAACTCTGTTGTTCTGTGTACACAGCTGCTGCCCTCCCTATGGAGTCTCTCCTGCCATGTCTGTCTTTGTTTCAGACCTTCACGATCCACAGTTTGTTGTTTTGTTTTGACCTGGTTTTGTGATTCGTTTCTCGATTCACATGCCTGGCTAGTTTCTCAAGACCATGCATCAGATCGTTTGGAGGGACAGTGCCCCTTCCAGGGCAAACGTTAGCCTGCAAAGCTGGGGAACGAGATGGGAAATCTCGAGGCGGGAATTATTATTGAATTGTAGCAGAAGAACGGATAAGACTTTACCTCCTGATAGTGGGGAACCCCTTACCCCCTGATAGTGGGTAACCCCTTATCCCCTGATAGTGGGGAACCCCTTACCCCCTGATAGTGGGTAAACCCTTATCCCCTGATAGTGGGGAACACTTTACCCCCAGTAGTGGTAATCCTTTGCCTTCCAATAAAGGAGGACATTTTAACGTTTGATCCTGGTTAACACCACCTCTACTGCCATCTGAGGGCTAAAAGCTCCAAACTCGTACGACCTTCTGAGAGAAAAGAAAATATTCTCCTTTTAAGACAACCCTATCATTCTAGGCATCAGTCTTTTAAACCTCGTCTCCAACACATTATCAATTTTTGTTAAATAGGCAAGACGAAAACTGCGCACAATTTCTGAGTGGTCTGTTTCTGCTCCTGTATCGCATGTTCACATGGAA